AAAAATGAAAAGCAGCATTCTTCTTTAAAAGGAATTAATATGTGTAATAAAACTAATAAGCGACTTAATGTTAATCATATACAAACTCTAATAGTAAGAAGAACAGAATATGTAAGGGCTAGCCTACAATAACATTCATAGTTTTTGTTTACCCTACGACTGCGAGACATATATAGGGATTACAATCCGGTGGCGGTGACGGCGTCAACTATCCCGTCCGACGATTTTAATACGGATACTATAACTAATAGATCAACACTATTTGGTTTATGGAATGATTGCAAGGCGTTCATGTTCGATTGGCAGGTTTCATCTGACCTTGACTTCAACTTGATGTCATGGTTCATTGGAAAATGATAAGTTTTTGTGTTATGGTGTTTTTCTCAGATACTATAAGCAATAGGGTCACTATTTTGGTGTATTGAATGATTGTAAGGTGTATATGTCCGATTGGCAGGTTTCGTCTGACCTTGACCACATTTTCATAGTTCATTTGACAATGTTTAGTTTTTTTTTGTGGTTTGGTCTATTTCTCAGATATTACAAGCAATAGGTCAACTATATTTGGTGATGGAATGTTAACAAGGTGTACATGACTGTATGGCAGGTTTCTTATGATCGTGACCTCATTTTTATGGTTCATTGGTAAACATAAGTTTTCGTGGTTTTGTCAGTTTATCAGATACTATAAGCAATAGTGTAAATATATTTGGTGTATTGAATGATGGTAAGGTAAACATGTCTGGCAGGGTTCATATAACCTTGACCTAATTTTCAAGGTTCATTGGTCAATGTGGAGTTTTTTTGTGGCTTGATTTTTTTCCAGGTACTATAAGCGATAGGACCACTATATTTGTTGTATAAAATGTTTGTAAGGTATACATGTCGGTCTTGCACGGTCCATCTGACCGTGGCCTCATTCTCCAATCTAATTAAAATATAGATCTCTGATTTCGTTATACTACATAGTATAACGAAATCAGAGATCTATATTTTAATTCTATTGCTCATTCTCATGATACAACATTGATAATGTTAAGTTTATGTGATAATCATAGTAAAACTGTCATATTACAGACTTTCAACATAAATTCAATCATAAGTAAATCAGCCGAAACATTTCAGCCTGTGCACTCTTGTTATAACATGGATGTTAATCTTCCCTTTCATTATCGGAAATATTTTTGTCTGCAAACTTCTACTACGAGTTGCTGTACTCATCGACAAAAAGTTCTAGTTTAACACATAGTTCGAGATTGCTCTGATGCATGGTGGTGGTCCTATTTAGACTTGCCAGACCCAGGAACATATACTATTCCCAGCCAGACCCTAGAAAATTCTACAAACAATAAGGCTTCAGACATTAGAGCAATCTCGGAATAAATAAAACATAACTGACTCTGTACTCTGCAAACAATTTGTCCAGCCTTGCCTAATTGTGCATGAAATATACGTTTTTAGTTTTTTTATGCTTTAACATCAGTATTGTGTATGTTTATTGTGTAAATGTATGAATTTGTTGGTTATAAAAGCTCAAAGAGCTTATGTTATTGTTTTGTGACATGCTGACTTTAAATAAAGCTTTTGATTTGATTTGAAACTACCTCCTTATTCAAATGATAAACATAATAATGATAATGACCACTAAGAAACCAACATTTGCCACACTACTACTTCTTGCAATTGTAAACATACACACAGAAAATTACTTCAATTTAAATTTTGTGATTATAAGAATTGAATCGCTTTAGAAACGTTCAAAAACCACGAATTTCAGACCAGCCAAATGATGTTGCCTTTCATACTTTAACAGGCAATGCACTCCTTTAATATGATTATTAACGAAGCTGGTATTGTGCCAGACTTATGGTCGATTGGTGTTATATGTCCAATTTATAAAAACAAAAGTGATGTCACTGACCCTGATAATTACAGGGGGAACTTAGTTGTTATGGTAAACCTTTTACTGCTGAACAAAATAACAGACTTAATTTTTATCTTGAAGATATGAATGTTCTCTGTGAAGAACATGCAAGTTTTAGGAAGAATTATGGAACTTATGATCATAGTTACATTCAATCTTAAATGTTAAATAGATTTGTACTTGCACAAGAATAAACCATTATATTGTGCCTTTATTGATTATCGTAAGGCTTTTGATTCCATTAATAGAACAGCTTTATGGAATAAGTTACTGCAAAACTGTATTGATGGTAAAATGTTTAATATTGTACATGCTATGTATGAAAATGCTAAATCTTGTGTTCTACAGGGTAGTCAAATGTCAGATTATTTTCAAAGTAATGTTGGTGTTAGACAGGGAGAAAACCTGTCACCGGTACTTTTTTCACTGTTTCTTAATGATTTAGTCCAGTTTGTATCAAATGCATATGATGGGTTGTCAGATGTTTGTAATGCTGTTCATACTGCTCTTGATACTGGTGAAATTTCTGTCTATTTAAGATTGTATCTATTATTATATGCTGATGACACTGTTATACTTGCTGAATCTAAGGCTGAGTTACAAGCTGCACTTAATTTCATGTATTTATATTGTAAGACATGGAAACCTGAAATTAATGCTACTAAAACAAAAGTTGTTGTATTTAGAAAATGTTAATCCCCTGATGAACCAGTATTTACTCTAAATGGGGAGGTTTTGAATATTGTTGATGAATTTGCTTATTTAGGTATTATATTTATGTATAATGGTTCCTTTAAAAATAATCAGAATAAACTGTTAGAACAAGGCAGAAAAGCCATGTATAGTATGTTACGAAAATGTAGAAGTCTAGGATTACCTATTGATTTGCGATTACAAATGTTTGACACAATGGTAGCACCTATATTGTTATATGGGTGTGAAGTATGGGGTTATAATAACAATAGTATACTGTTGAATCTTTATTCTTGCAGTTTTATAAGATTATTTTAAATGTTAAGAAGTCAACTCCAAATTGTATTATATATGGAGAACTAGGTAGATATCCTATTGATGTATTTATTAAAAGTAGGATAATTGGTCTATGGAAAAGATTTATGTGCAGTAAGCAAGATAAGATTCCATCTATTTTGTATAAATTGTTATACACTATGCATGACAGAAATATATACCATTCAGAAAGGAAACGTTTTGTTGAAAATAATCTAAATGAGTGTGGTTGTTCTGAATATTGGTTAACTCAAAATGTGTCTACATCTGTCAACCTAGCTAAGATTGTAAAGAAAATGTTATGTGACCAATTTAAGCAAAAATGGTGTGCTACTGTGTATGAATCACCTAAATGTCTCAATTATAGAATTTTCAAAAGAAACCATCGTTTTGAAAAATATTTAATAGAACTTCCTACAGATTTAAGGAAATCTCTATGTAATTTTAGACTGCCAGTTGAAAAGGGCAGGTTTTGGGGAATAGCAAGAGATGATAAAATTTGTGATATTTGCAATTTGAACTCATTAGGTGACGAATTTCATTATTTATTCCATTGTTCTTATTTCAAAAATGAGAGGATAATATTATTGCCAAAAGAATTCACTACAAATCCAAATGTTGATAAATTTCATGCTTTATTTAACTCAGACAATTATAATGTTATTTTCAAAGCTGCAAAATTTTGTAAAATCATACTTTTTTTATTAAAATGATTGAAGTTACTGTATATTCATACATTTATTCAAATATGATGTATCACGTTTATGTTTATATAATATGTCCATCTTCCATATAACTTTCTTTAGTAAAATGAATGAAATTACTATATATTCATACATTTATTCAAATATGATGTTTATGTCTATACAATATATATGTCCGTCTTCCATATATTTGATATGCCTATCATGCATATATGTTAACTTGTTCATTAAATCAACCTATTTTGTTATATTGTGTTCAATTTATTGTATTTGTTCAAATACCCTGGTTAAGGGTCTTGAGAAATAAAAACTTGAAACTTGATGATTTTTTATGATAAAATAGTATATGGTATTTATACTACAAATAACCTGTTAGACTAGTCCCTTCTAGCTTAAACTACTTGTATTAATAAAGACCTTATTTTAAACCACTAAATGTCTTTTGGATTTTTTGTTTTGTTTGGTTGCTTTTTCATTGACATATACCAAACATCTCTGTGCCTTACCTGTTGTTGCTACTGCCAATTTAAAGGTAACATAGTTTAAGTGAATTGATTTATTAATTTTTTATTTACTGTCCCACTAGTATTTCTGGCATTTGAAGGGAATTTCGTATGCTTCCTTCATAATTCATGCACTTTTTTATCAAAATATCTGAAAAATTTTCACCATGCTAATAATTTCCAGTGTGTCAATGCCTCAAAATTCTGGATGATTCACTTAATTATATACTACATCAAAACAAGAATGCACTCATTGTTGTGCTTAATATATATACCACTACTAATAATTTACACTAGATATCCCGATCTGAAATCCAGGGAAATCCGAATCCAGAAGAACAATTACACAAGACCGTAACATGATGGGTAGGTAAAATCTGGATCTGATTCCCATCATCTGATACAGATTTTACTTACCAACCATGATATGGTTTTGTGTAATTGCTCCTCAAATTCGGATAGGGATACCCGGTGTGTAAATCAAAGTGTCAGAAAACCAAAAGTAATTGTGTTGCAGATCCTGCAAGATGCTGATAAATATGAAGTCATTATGTTGAGTATAGAATAAGAGAAATGTGGTTTTTCTCTCTGTGTTTGCATAAATGGCAAGGGACACTCAACCTACCAGTAATACAAGTTTATCAGGAGCAAATCAGCTGTTAATGAACTACCCTTGGAACAGGAAATTCCTCCATCTATTGAAATGACTTTTATAAAACTACACACTAGTGTAAACGACAGTGTTTAATTCAATCATTTAAACATTTATATCCTTGTCCTTTGGTCTTTGATTGATAGTTGTCTCATAGGCAATCATAACACATCACCTTACTTTTATATAAAAAGACACTAAAATCATAATAAGATTTATTTCTTTATTAAAATCTTTTAAATATTTAACAAAATAAAATATGCATAACATAAAGAAAAAAAGTTCTGGAAATAAAAGCGGCACATTCAAATGATTTAAGATTTAAATCATTTGAAGGTGGTTTACCCTTTCGATTGCACTTTCACCTGAAACAGACAAATATATCTACTTTTGATTATGAAGGTAGTCCTACAGTTCTCTTATTGTTAAAAGGTCTGAAACATAAGAAAACAAAAATTGAATACATGATAATAACAGCTATCTTACAGACTTTCTTTTGATCACTATCATCATGATCATGCTAAAAATTATAATATTTCAATATGAATAAAATGCTTCGCTGGGGCGCAGCTTGATACGACCGCAGAGGTCGAACCCTGAACAGTTGGGGCAAGTATGGACACAACATTCAAGCTTGATACAGCTCTGAATTTGGATTGTTATTAAATATTTGACACAGCATAGGTTTCTGACACAGAAAGAATGTGGTCTAAGAACTTGAATTTTTTTAATTTACCTATTATGGTCCAATGTCCAAAATCAAAATACATGGTTAGATTCAGCATATCAAAGAACCCCATATATTCAATTTTTGTTAAAATCAAACAAAGTTTAATTTTGGACCCCAACTTGGACAAACTTGAAAACTGGGCCCATAATCAAAAATCTAAACACATGTTTAGATTCAGCATATCAAAGAACCCCAAGAATTCAATTTTTGCTAAAATCAAACTAAGTTTAATTTTGGACCCTTTGGACCTTAATGTAGACCAATTTAAAAAACGGGACTTGAAATTAAAAATCTAAATACACGGTTAGATTTGGAATATCAAAGAACCCCAATAATTCAATTTTTGATGAAATCAAACAAAGTTTAATTTTGGACCCTTTTGACCTCAATATGAACCAATTTGATAGCGGGGCCCACAAATAAAAAATCTAAATTCATGGTTATATTCAGTATATCAAAGAACCCCATATATTCAATTTTTGTTGAAATCAAAACAAAGTTTAATTTTGGACCCCAACTTGGACCAACTTGAAAACTGGGCCCATAATCAAAAATCTAAACACATGTTTAGATTAAGCATATCAAAGAACCCCAAGAATTCAATTTTTGTTAAAATCAAACTAAGTTTAATTTTGGACCCTTTGGACCTCAATGAAGACCAATTTAAAAAACGGGACCCAAATTAAAAATCTAAAAACACGGTTAGATTTGGCATATCAAAGAACCCCAATAATTCAATTTTGGATGAAATCAAACAAAGTTTAATTTTGGACCCTTTTGACCTCAATATGAACCAATTTGATAGCGGGGCCCACAAATAAAAAATCTAAATACATGGTTAGATTCAGCATATTAAAGAACCTCATATATTCAATTTTTGTTGAAATCAAACAAAGTTTAATTTTGGACCCCAATTTGGACCAACTTGAAAACTGGGCCCATAATCAAAAATCTAAATACATGGTTAGATTCAGCATATCAAAGAACCTCATATATTCAATTTTTGTTGAAATCAAACAAAGTTTAATTTTGGACCCCAATTTGGACCAACTTGAAAACTGGGCCCATAATCAAAAATCTAAACACATGTTTAGATTCAGCATATCAAAGAACCCCAAGAATTCAATTCTTGTTAAAATCAAACTAAGTTTAATTTTGGACCCTTTGGACCTTAATGTAGACAAATTTAAAAAAACAGGACCAAAAATTAAAAATCTAAATACACGGTTAGATTTGGAATATCAAAGAACCCCAATACTTCAATTTTAGATGAAATCAAACAAAGTTTAATTTTGGACCCTTTTGACCTCAATATGAACCAATTTGATAACGGGGTCCACAAATAAAAAATCCAAATACATGGTTAGATTCAGCATATCAAAGAACCCCACATATTCAATTTTTGTTGAAAACAAACAAAGTTTAATTTTGGACCCCAATTTGGACCAACTTGAAAACTGGGCCAAAAAATCAAAAATCTAAATACATGTTTAGATTCAGCATATCAAAGAACCTCATATATTCAATTTTTGCTAAAATCAAACAAAGTTTAATTTTGGACCCTTTGGACCTTAATGTAGACCAATTTGAAAACTGGACCCAAAATTAAAAATTTAAATACACTGTTAGATTCGGCATAACAAATAAATAAATGTGATCAAAGATTTTACAAATCTAATGCGCCATACTGTGCAATTAAAGATTACTTCTTGAAATTTTTCAATATTTGAAATTTGAAAAAAAAATAATATTTGAAGAATAATTCTTTTTAATTTCTGAAATCTGAAATGAGAAAAAATTGACCCCCCACAATTTCTTTTTATCCCCCCCCTTTTTTCCCCAAAAAAATTCTTTCCCTCAAGATATGGTCATAATCTCAATTCAAATTTCCAATGGAGTTGGCAACCATAATTACCCATTTAAATTTACCAAAGTGCTAACTTAATCTATTTTATAATAGAATTAAAAATATACTGTCAAATCTTTCATATGGATTTTTTTGTAAAAAAAAAAGATGCAACATTTGCAGATATTTTTACTGGTCTTCCTTTATAGATATGCATTTCTTTAAACATAATTTAAAAGCAGTGTAAGGGAAGTAACCAAAACGTTGTATTTTGATTACCTCCCTTACACTGTTTTAAATTATCTTTATTGTTCATTAACCATTACTTTATACATAATTTAAAAGCAGTGTAAGGGAGATAATCTCAATGATGTATTTGATTTATCTCCCTTACACTGCTTTAAATTATGTTTTGTACAAAAGTATTTGTCCATTAACCAGGACAACCTTGTTTTTCCCCCTTTTTTGCCCCTAATTCCTAAACGGTTTGAGCCATAACCCCCCAAAGCAAATCCTAACCATCCCTTTGTGGTATGGAAACTTGTAGTATAATTTCAGAGAGATCCATACACCGTTCCACAGTTATTGTCTGGAAGCTAGAAAATGCTTATTTTTGGCCCCTTTTTGGCCCCTAATTCCTTAACTGTTGGTACCATAACCCCCAAAATCAATCCCAACCTTCCTTTTGTGGTATTTAACCTTATGGTCAAATTTCAAAAAGATCCATTCACTTAAACTAAAGTTAGAGTGCGAAAACCAGTATGTCTTCGGACGACGACGACGACGACGACGACGACGACGCCAACGTCATACCAATATACGACCACAAAATTTTTTTGCGGTCGTATAAAAACAGAGAAGCCAATATATACGAATCATCATTGATTTTCCTTTAAGTGAAAACTAATAATAAATTCATTTCTTATTTAAAGGTGAACACACCTGTAAGGTATCATATTTGAAATGCTCAGAATTCAATTTCAAATTAACTAATCAATGAATACAACTTCTGATTATTCATTAAAACAATCAATCATACTATTATTCAATTCTTTAATACTTTAAGCAAAATACTTCAAGATTTGGACTAACTGAAAGCATCATTTAAAATTTCATATACTTTGGTTTTCAAATAGTATATTGTGTACATTTTGATCTTTATCTTAAACATGAGAAAATATACAAAACATACTCACATAATTATTTTAATTAATAAGGAGAAAACTCAAATTATTAAGATTGATTTTATTTCAAACTTTGCTGATTATAATTGTCATAGTTACCTGTTTAACCAAGATGTGGTCTGATTTTAATCACTGAAACTATAAAGAAGTAGTAAGTTAGAAAATGCATTTGTAGAACATGTCAACATAAATAATAAAAAAAAAACATTAATAAAAGAAATTGATCTATTTGCTTTTGGTGTCAGGTATTTGGTTACATTGGGTTTAAAGGTTAGCATCCATTCATGTTGACAACTGTATTGTGACCTCTAGATGTTAGTTTAGAATACCTTGTTTTGTTAGGTTGCTGGCGTCACTTCATTTCTATTATTCATAGAGCTTGGTCAAAATATGACCTTTTCCGCATCAATGAACAGGCAAGTAATATGAATGAATCCACAGCACAGTGACATGGATACAATGTGCACGAAGAGGAATGAATGGTTGTATGAAACAAAAGAACAAAGGATAAAACAAAACAATCAACTTCTACGTCATTTGGTATCTGGTTGAGAGTTGTCTCATTAGTAATCATACCACATCTTCTTATTTTCAAATCAATATTCATAACAAAGATATTGCAATACTAAGCTCCTGTTAAAATTATTTAAATCTTTAATTAGTATCTGTTAAGCAGATTGCGAGCTCAGATGGAACTTTTTTATCTAAATATGAACCTTGATTGTCTATTAAAACCCAAGATATCAAAAACCCTATCAACTTGAGATGTAGAACAGATGATGCAAAATTATGTATCCTTCGGAAGATTCTTGACAAGTATTACAAAGGCTTTCTGAAGTTTATTTACTGTAAAAATAAAAATAAATTACATCCTACTAAGAAAGATAACTCTTGTTAAAATCAAATGGAAAAATACTTGCCTGCATTTTCATTCTTTTTAGCATCATCAGACTTTTCATTGTTTTCAGATACTATTGAAATAAAAGCTGGTAACTTCCTTTGCTTGAATGGAATATCAGTCTCATCTGTAATCTCTTCCTCATGTCTTCTTTTCGATTGTAGATTTTGTTGTTTATCTTTTTCTCTAAAATAAAGGTGAAAGGTTACATATTACCTGCAGCTGTAGATGTAGCTTAAATGAAATCTGGCAAAGAATGTTACTAAGACTAGTGCAAGTGATAATCTTGAATTTGCTGTGGGGTGATAGTTTTGCTCCATATTGAAGGCTTTACTGTGAATCTGAAATGACGAAGTGCAATGAAAATTCTGTTCTTTTGCTTTATATTTTTTTAATGTCTACATAAAGATTAATACACCATATCGTTTCTTTTCCATTATACTCCAAATATTCAAAAATATCATTTTTTCTGAACAGTTATTCCAGTAATTGGTGTCTTTTGAAATCTACTTTTTTTTTCTGTTAAAAAAAAGATAGATTATGTCCTCTACTTCTGTAGGCAGATTTTCAAAATCAACCATCAACTCAATTTTGAGTTTTTATTCTGAAGTCCCTTACAATACTCCTTTCTTCACACAATCATTTCTGTAAATAAATACCCAAGCATAACTATATAAGTAATAAATGAGAAAAAAGTAAATCATAAGAAATGTGTGTTTGTGTTGTCACAAATGTAGGAAAAATAAAATCCTGGTTCATTGTGATACACAATAAAAGTGAATAAAACACTGTTCCTTTGCTTTTTGTATGTTTTTTGCTGTGCTTTTACTGATTTTGTGTCATGGATGGATACCCTATATCCTTTGTTTTTCTATTAAATAAACCTCAAATCACTTACCTAGTTTCTTTGCCATCTAATGATACATTTCTTTGCTTTCTCTTGATATGTTTTAATTTACATGGCTTAACTTCTGAACAAACACCAAGTTTTGAATAAGATGGGCAAGTCATTGTGTGCTTCTTTGTACACTGTAATGATAAATAATTCAATCCAGCATGTTTTTTTAATATATAGAATAGTAGAAAGATTTATTTTTTTTCATACAGAGTAAAAATAATTTAGCAACATATATTTTAATTTAAAATCTTTGAAATCAAAATTTACAAAGTTGCAGAACTAAATTTTTAATACTATTTTTTGTTAAAGAATTGCATTTAATAATTATTATTTATTTAATTGTTTAGAAATATAATAAATTTTTAAAATATGGTATTAAAAAAGTTTTTGTTGCTAAACTTTATTTACTCAGTACATATCATGAAAGGAGCTATCATCTTACCTTTTCTCCCAGGTGACAAAACCCTTTGATAAAATCTTGGCAAACTTTAGCTGTCTTACTAACATTAACGTGTAGATATGGACAGTTGTCACGGTTACACACTCCTCGCAGGAAATAAGAACATGTTGGCATCTTCTCCTTGGCCACTTTATGTGAAAATAGACAATCGTCTACTTTACAGGTTCCCCTTAAAAATCTGAAATTATAAAAATAGAAATGGGCTGTCATCTATATTACAGGCTTCTGTTTAAAATCTGGAGAAAAAAAATGTAAGCATCTTCTGCTGAGATTCCTGATTAAAAAAAATATTTAATCATTTAAAACATGGAGATTATAATATCATATATGAATTATGAATTATATATTAAAGACAAATAACTATCTCTTGTGGAGAGTTGTCTCATCAGCAATCATACCACATCTTTTTATTTTTATAATTACTTGAGACTATAACATCTGAAATCAATTTATTAGCTTGTTTTTCTTATCTGGATCAAATGTGATGTATCCTGTACGAACTGCTGTGTCCGTTTTATATCAAACATTGTACCAACACAGCCATCCTGTTTGGACCATGTATGCATAGACAACTATCTCCCCTTAATACTAACCTAGCACACACAGCCACCCTGTATTAATCATGTATGTATGGACAACTATCAGACCTTAATACTGACCGAGCACACACAGCCAGATCATGTATGTATGCATGTTGACAGTTATCTTCCCTTTTTTTATTCTGACCTTGTATACACAGCAACTCTGTCTGGATCATGTACATAGGGACAGTTATTCCCCTTTTTTTATTCTGACCTTGTACACACAGCAACTCTGTCTGGATCATGTACATAGGGACAGTTATTCCCTCTTTTTAATTCTGACCTTGTACACACAGCAACTCTATCTTGATTATATACATAGGGACAGTTATCTCCCCCTTTTTTTATCCTGACCTTGTACACACAGCAACTCTGTCTGGATCATGTACATAGGGACAGTTATTCCCAAGGCTTCCAAAACGGTCATATATTCCGGACATTTGTATAATGTGCGGTAAAAGTCCGGCTGGGCAAAGCACGAAACGGTCATCTACTTTTTAGATTTCAAGGCTTTCTTAAGAGACGGTCATTTTAACATTATTCGCGATCTTTTTGACCCAACCTTTCCGGTCATAAAAGTGACATGATCATTAAGTACTATCAAAACAACCCCTACTTTAATACCTTCTCATTTTAATCAAGGCTAATTAGTTGTCGAACAGCTCAGTGTTCTCCCCAGGATGTTTGGATAGCACCAGGGTAACGCCTGTGGACTGCTTGGTGAAATGATTCATACAATCAGTTGTGTCGTGTCGCGTCGCTTCGCTTAGCTATATTTCTAGTAACTGTAGTTTTTATGTCTCCTGTTTTGTTTTAATGCTGTGGTACTGTGTTATGTAGACATTGAAAATTATTGGTAAAAAAGAAGTAAATCAATAAACAGTTTGACATGTATACTTTTAATATTTTTTAAAAATAAATAAAACATGATACATTACAAAATATTCATCTAAATTTAAAGTTATTAAATCTTTTATAAAATCAATGATCAATAAGAATAGAATATCATTCAAAAGAGAACAAAAATGTTCAATTTAAAAAACTTTCTTATTTCTAGAATGAAAGATGTTGTATTGTGAAAGGATTCCTGTCATAAGGAGATATAAAATTAACAAGAATAAATATTGTTTTATTATTTGAACCAGTATCTCTCTTAAATTTTAATAAAAAGAAATTTTTCATAAATTTCAAAACATTTTGCCTTAGATTTCATGTAAATATTAACTTTTCTTGTCTTTAGTGATAATCAAACACAGATACAGACTTAATACTGCACTGAAATCTAAATCTTTTTTAGTCATGATCCACTTAAAAAGAATTCCTAAATCTATAAATTTATCCTAGTTCTATAGATCTATAAGTAACCCTATTCAATGTCAACAACTAAGTCTCCCTATTTTCCCGCCTAAATGACAGGAAGTAGATATAAATAGATTTAACATGTGCTTATGGATAAAATTTGCAAATCACTTCTGTTATTCATTAATTATCATATGGATATAGATATCCAGTTTGAAGGTACAGTCATGCATTTTATTTATAAAATAGAATAGTTTGCAGTTAATTGTAAATAAATCTTGGGTATTCTATGTAAAGTAACTGGGTCATGTGATCCGTCGCCTTTGAATTACTTGTTGACAGATACTATGATAGTTTGAAACCGGAATATCATGCAATATAAACTATGTCAAAATTAAAGATAATTTGGCTATGGTTTAATCAGAGACCTATAATACTATTATATAAGTATTGAGAAGTGTATAATGGTCAATTATACGTAATGAGCCAACTTTATAATGTACAAATGTGTACCGTCGTGTGTACAACTATCGGGTCAAAACGTTTTGTGTACAAAGTATTTGCCGACTTGTCAGGTGGTGAGTGAAGCCATAAAGTAGTGAACTACGATCATAAAGTTATGATCTCTTAATTAAAACACAAAAGAATAATTTTACAAGTGTTAAAAACAAAGGATAACCTCATAAAGGTAAATCGATCACGTGGTGTAAACAATCTGAACTGGTTTGAACTGGTCAAATTTCACCTGGAATTTTATACCGCACGGAAAAGATTTAACAAGTCGTTTATAACTTTACCGATTTTCGATTTTTTAACTAAAAATTTTAGCACCACGGAGAAATATAATACATCGCGGTAAGAACGATACCACCACGGTAAAAAAATATACATCGCGGGCCCGCGGTCCTTTAAGGCCCTGGGGAGAACACTGCAGCTGAAATTTACCTGTTCAGGTGACATGTAAACTATTTTGAACCGGACATTGATCGGTCTATTCAAAGTTATTTTCTTACATTTCAGCGGTTTGCATCTAATTAATTTAGTCAAAAAGATTTAAATTATCAGAAATACATTTACAAATAAGATTTGATGAAAAAATTAAAGAGGTGAAGATGAAAAATCGTCATTACCACGTTGTTTGAACAGAGACATATCTCTGTTTGAACTATTACACGTGTGCGCATGTGCAATGTGCGCAGGTGTGAAATTTAATTATGCATCCTAATTTCTTTAAAAAATGCTTAAATTGTCATTGATACCTTTATCTCACGTTTATTTCGAATATTTTCTTGAAGAAATAACGTAGAATGAGCTACTTACACTCATTCATGCTTTGCAAACGTACACGGAATTTACGTATCTGTCTCTGGTTTATGTTTTACCATTGTCAAGATAACATCCGGTTTCAGATTTAAAAACGAAAGTAAAGTTTTTGACAACATTATTTTGCACAAATAAAGAGTCTAAGGCAGATATAAGTACGCTGATGTTGCACACTTCGGATGATGCACTGCCAATTTAACAGTTTACGTCAGAACTTGGAATTTGAATCAAAGAAAGTTTAATATCGGTTTTTTTAAATATCAATCATTGGGATGGCCAACTCGGCAACTGATTACCATTATTGCCTTTTGTTTATTTAGTCTTAAGGGATTAAAATCGGGATAACATATAAAATGTCCGGCTGGCTAAAAATAATTTTGGAAGCCCTGGTTATTCCCCCTTTTTTATTCTGACCTTGTACACACAGCAACTCTGTCTGGATCATGTATATAGGGAGAGTTATTCCCCCTTTTTTATTCTGACCTTGTACACACAGCAACTCTGTCTGGATCATGTACATAGGGACAGTTATTCCCCCTTTTTTATTCTGACCTTGTACACACAGCAACTCTGTCTGGATCATATACATAGGGACAGTTATCTCCCCCTTTTTTATTCTGACCTTGTACACACAGCAACTCTGTCTGGATCATGTACATAGGAACAGTTATTCCCCCTTTTTTATTCTGACCTTGTACACACAGCAACTCTGTCTGGATCATGTACATAGGGACAGTTATTCTCCCTTTTTTATTCTGACCTTGTACACACAGCAACTCTGTCTGGATCATGTACATAGGGACAGTTATTCCCCCTTTTTTATTCTGACCTTGTACACACAGCAACTCTGTCTGGATCATGTACATAGGAACAGTTATTCCCCCTTTTTTATTCTGACCTTGTACACACAGCAACTCTGTCTGGATCATGTACATAGGGACAGTTATTCTCCCTTTTTTATTCTGACCTTGTACACACAGCAACTCTGTCTGGATCATGTACATAGGGACAGTTATTCCCCCTTTTTTATTCTGACCTTGTACACACAGCAACTCTGTCTGGATCATATACATAGGGACAGTTATCTCCCCCTTTTTTATTCTGACCTTGTACACACAGCAACTCTGTCTGGATCATGTACATAGGAACAGTTATTCCCCCTTTTTTATTCTGACCTTGTACACACAGCAACTCTGTCTGGATCATGTACATAGGAACAGTTATTCTCCCTTTTTTATTCTGACCTTGTACACACAGCAACTCTGTCTGGATCATGTACATAGGAACAGTTATTCCCCCTTTTTTATTCTGACCTTGTACACACAGCAACTCTGTCTGGATCATGTACATAGGGACAGTTATCTCCCCCTTTTTTATTCTGACCTTGTACACACAGCAACTCTGTCTGGATCATGTACATAGGGACAGTTATTCCCCCTTTTTCATTCTGACCTTGTACACACAGCAACTCTGTCTGGATAATGTACATAGGGACAGTTATTCCCCCTTTTTTATTCTGACCTTGTACACACAGCAACTCTGTCTGGATCATGTACATAGGGACAGTTATTCCCCCTTTCACACTTTCCAAATCTGTTAAAGAACATGCAGTATTTCTTGGCTACTTTCTTCTTTGTATTATCTTTCTTATACTTTGCTGCAACAGTAAGGATACTTCTGTGTTTCACTCGGCTACAAAAGATATATCAAAAATATAGTCTCTGTGACTATACCATCACTAACAACATTTGCATAACACAATAGAAATATAATATACATTAGTTGCCAATTTTTTTTTTAAGTTGTCTGAATCATGATTTACCATGTACAAAAGAAAGATAACAACTTTGGTCTTCAGCACTTGTATCTAACACAATTATGTAGCTGCAAGATGATATGAACAAATGCATATTAGCATAGCAAGTAACTGACACTGTTTATCATATTTTGTTAGATATGTGTCAGTTTTGGGAATGACTAGAACAAGACTCACACTTCCTCTATTCCCGATCCTTTCCTGAAAAAACAGAACTCTCTAGCATTTTTTTTTGGTGTCCTTTCAATCCTTTATCAGGCCGTTCTTTTCATCTGTAACTCCTCCTAAACTAGTAATTTCTTAATTATCTCATGTCAATGTTCAGGCAATTTTTTTTTTTATCTTAAATGATTTTTGGGTTTCTTACTGAATTGGAATTGACCATATCCATGATATCCATACATTAAAATTGATACCGGTATGAGGGCAGGAAAAATAAAAAGGTGTATGAATTTATGAGCTCTGTTTATTTTTCTAATGTACAGCTGGTTCAAATTGGTCCTTAGCAAATACAGGAGCACAATTATTTTTGGGAATTGTTATGGGTTTTAGTGATAAAGTGCAATGGTTTTATTCTGAGATAAGATTTCTGATGTGAAAATATAGGAAATGAGATAAATGTTGTCCCAAAAATCATTTAATACATTCAATGTTGGTTATATAAACACATACTGTGTGTAAACAAACATTTTACCTAGCAATCACTTTGGCTTTGTTTGACCAAACTTGTTCCAATGTTCCAGGTTTTGTCTGGATATAAGTCATTCCACCTATATCAATTCTGTTCACAGAAGATTTTACACCTTGTTTTGAGATCTGATTATCTGAAAATAAAAGTTATCACAATTAAACCTAGATATTTTTTCTGGATATAAGCCTATATATTTTGTTTTGATATAGACATAAATACTTTTCTGGCAGAGGCCTAGATATTTTGTCTGATTTAACGTTAACCCTGCCATATTGTGTGATTGTATCAATTCAGGCTATCTGGAGCATGTGTTGTTCATTGTTGTTTGTCTTTGTTTCTATGTCCTTTTCTCGGAGGAGTTGGTTTATGTGGTTGGTGTGGTCTATTGATTCTTCAATATATTCAGATAAAATTGTGCAATTAATTATACCAGATTTAACAGGACTTGAATCCATCCTTTTCAATGTTTTCCCTGAAGCATCCATCTGGAATTTGATTCCTCGAACTTTCACTATCTTCATTGCTGAGGTATTCATTTCTGAAAATAACAACATAATTAGAATCAAAGTGCGTGTGAGCCCTGGAGGGAATACTGCATTTGTTTTACAGTGGGAACTAAAAATTAATCATTGCATTGTATTAAACATTAGAAGGCAATACTATGAATCGGTTAAATTACAATTATGGACAAAAGAAGAAAACTCCAATTTTAAATATTTCTTTAACAATGACATCATTGATATTTAAAGTACAGATACTAGATTCACACATCATGCATGTTTTTGTACACAATTTATGTAATTTTCTTTGTTATACACATTCACATCATTGAGTATTTTAAGTATTTATTTCATTGATAAATTCTTGAATATTCATGGATAGAATGTATAGAATGTTGTGCTCAAAGCAGTATGTTTTGTTTTTGTCAAAAGTAGTGATAAAGTCTGGAAAATTGATAGCTATTCAGCCAAACACATAAGAGCTGCTAAAAAAATGCTAGTTTTCCAATCCAAAACACCTGCACACATACATTTAATGTATCATCCATTCTCTATTGAGTGACTTTATGAATTTCAGAGTCAAATATTATTATAAAAGGACATGAGTTTTTAGAAGTAATCTATCATCTGGTTTTCTGCACGATGATACAGGAAAATATCAGCTGTGGGTCACAGTTTGAAGCTTTTGTCGAGTGAGTGAAGCAAACGAGCTCAAAAAGGCTTCATATAGAGTCGAGCAGCAGATATTTTACATGTATGCAAAAAATCTGATAATTAAATTATCATATTGTATTTGAGTGCTTTTTTGAAGACAAAACCAAAATTTGTTTCTTTCTATTACTAGCTAGATAGTTGGAAGAGGACTTTGCTTATTTATCATGTTTATAGCACATACTTTTAACAACAACTTGATTATTGTTTAGCTTTTGTTGATTTGTTTTCACTAGACTGTGTCCACTAGATTTATATAACATTCCATTTATAATGACCATCTTCATGTTATCTTTACTGTTCTTGGTAGTATGTCTGAAAATATATTGAGAATGATTTACTGCTTAGCCAATTTCATTTAAATATCTGCTATCTGTCATGTGTTAAGGGTGTACTAGTAGTTACTCAACACAGATAATAAAACATTTGAGTTGGTTAAATTTAAAGTGGTCATAAATTTAAATCTGATGTATACTTTATGACATATTTTCACTCTGAAATACATATAATATATATACAAAACATATCTCAATACCTGTCATGTATGACATTTTATAACTTACTATACAGTATAGGTTTTCTCATTGTCAAAGGCTGTATACTAGTGTATGGCGAATGTTGTAAACTTTCAAACTATTGGTAAACAGGAAGTGGCTGCACAGCTAATGTAATAAAATGCTCCGCTGGGGCGCAGCTTGATACGACCACAGAGGTCGAACCCTGAACAGTTGGGGCAAGTATGGACACAACATTCAAGCTTGATACAGCTCTGAATTTGGATTGTGATTAAATATTTGACACAGCATAGGTTTCTGACACAGAATGAATGTGGTCTAAGAACTTAAAAAATGTTAATTTACCTATTCAAACCATATCATTATTATTTGCTTTTATATATAAATCAGAAATAACCAATTTTAAATGGAAAATTTTAAAGAAAAAAAAGGAAAAAAAAATCCGCCCCCCCCAAATTTTTGAACCCCCTTATGATTCATCACCCCAAAACTCAATAACAGCCTTCCCTTTGTGGTATGGTATCTTGCAGTACAATTTCAGAGAGATCAATACACTTTAACACAAGTTATTGTCTGGAAACTAGAAAAATGCATGTTTTTGGCCCCTTTTTGGCCCCAAATTCCTAAACGTTAAGGGCAATTACCCCCAAACTCCAACCCAGCTTTCCCTTTGTGATATGGAACCTTGTAGTACAATTTCATAAAGATCCATACACTTACACACAAGTTATTGTCCTGAAACTAGAAAAATGCTTGTTTTTTGCCCCTTTTTGGCCCCTAATTCCTAAAATTTTGAGTCAATCACCCCCATAATCAATCCCAGCCTTTCCTTAGTGGTATGGTACCTTGCAGTACAATTTCAGAGAGATCCATACACTTGAACACAAGTTATTGTCTGGAAACTAGAAAAATGCTTATTTTTGGCCCCTTTTTGGCCCCTTTTTCCTAAACATTTTGGGCAATTACCCCCAAACTCAATTCCAGCTTTCCCTTTGTGATATGGAACCTTGTAGTACAATTTCAGAAAGATCCATACACTTACACACAAGTTATTGTCCTGAAACTAGAAAAATGCTTGTTTTTTGCCCCTTTTTTGGCCCCTTATTCCTAAAATTTTGAGGCAATTACCCCCAAAATCAATCCCAGCATTCCCTTTGTGATATGGAACCTTGTGGTACAATTTCAGAGAGATTCATACACTAACACACAAGTTATGTCTGGAAGTTACAAAAATGCTTATTTTTGGCCCCTAATTCCTTAACTGTTGGTACCATAACCCCCAAAATCAATCCCAACCTTCCTTTTGTGGCATTGAACCTTATGGTAAAATTTCATAAAGATCCATTCACTTAAACTAAAGTTAGAGTGCGAAAACTAATGTGTCTTCGGACGACGACGACGCCAACGTCATACAAATATACGACCGCAAAATTTTTTTGCGGTCGTATAAAAAATTCTTACAAGCTGCAACTCAACATTTTAAAGCTCCAGATCAAATATAAAATCATTTATGTTCAAAGCTAAAAAGAAAAATAGAAATAATAACAATTATAAAATAAACATACACTTTCTTGTAATTTGTAGGACTTTTTGTTGTCATCTGCAGTCTTTTCAGTACATATCTTTTATTTATTAATAATGGACTTTTCACCGTATTTTCCTGACGACTGTACTTGTACATATTTCTGTCTTTACCTATAAGAAATATACATTTAAATGTCAATAAAGGGTTAGAGAATTAACACCATTTGCCTGTACTGATAAAAGTTAATGTCTAAGGTTTAGAAATGACATATAATTTACCTATCTGCTAAGATACCTTCTCACATGATATGACACATCAAAATTTTTTAATTGGAGTATCACTGTGTGCATCACTCAACAGTGGAGCTGAAATTCTAATCCTTTTGGGAACACTTGATATCAGCTGTATTTTTTATTGGGTTTATGTTGCTCAATCTTTAATTTTCTTTGTAGTGTTTTGTAAACAATTGTTGGTCTTTTCACCGGTCTATTATCATTTGACCATGGTGTAATACATTTTATCTTCAAATTAAGGTTTCTTCTTCCACTTTTTACTGGACAAAAAGATGGAATACTACTTTCAACAGTCAGGAGACTTACTTAAATGAGTGATTACTAAATCACTGATTCAAGTAACATTTTGTCCACAAATGTTGGAAGTAAGAGTTGTCTTCTTTAATAATCACCTATTTAAGTAGTACAAATAAATCACTAGATTAAGTGATTTAATTTTATTGTAGCTTTAAATATATAATACTAATGATCCAGGGACTAATCATGTTGCTAAAATTATCAGAACCAACATCTGTATTGATAGGATGACCGGTCATTTCAGGTGATGACCTTGTACTAAATCTGAGATAATGACATGAAAATCACTTCTTTAAGTATCATACCTCTATTTTCTTCCAAAAACTCACTTCTTGAATTATTTTGATTCTTATAGGACAAATGCGGCAATTCTTTTGGATCGAAGCGCTCTAGGTGAAGGCATTATTTGCCGTTCCCATAAATAAACGCACTATTAAATTGACGTAAAAGAACGGAGCAAACTGAATAAATGGCATGCTTAAACTATTTACAATGACATATTTAGATAGGTTTGGCTGAATCTAAATGATAATTGTATTTATATGTCTTATATGTAAACAAAAAATGGCTTATATAACACATTATAGCATCGTTTGTTTACGTTTCCTTGTTGTGATAATTTTCGGTTTCACAAGCGTGTATTTTCCCGTAAAATGCTTATATGCTTACGTCATCGTTCTATGACGTTGGGTAGCTCATTCATAAAAAAGCATATGACGCGGGAGTACGATCGGAACAGCCCAAACAATATATTCATATTTTACCACGGGTGTGTACTCAAAGCGTTTGAAGAACGTCATGTTAGAATATTATTTTAATTACGCCCACTAATTTCAACACCCTCGAACAGTGAAATTTTGATCGCGAACAGTAAAATTTTATTACATAATCTGTAAGATGAAACCTTGAATTTTACAGGAAAAATACTCCCACTGCTGGGAAAATCTATTAAGTATCAGCAGCTGGTTGTACGAACGTGTCATTAGTCTAATGAGTCATTATGTCTTCATTAGTCTAATGCATTATAAAGGCTTAATGAAGACTTAATGACCTATTAGGCTAATGCCACGTTCGTACAACCGGTTGCAGTTCATTATGTAAAGCCTTTATTATAGCATTTTTTCAACGAATATAGAATTTACAGCTAAATGATTGCATCATAGGCATAAGCCTTGCTACTTAAAAAAAGCAAAAGGTTTTATTTTTTTCAATTTTACTAATAATAAGATATAATCTAATTCTGTATGCTTAAAATTTTGGTAAAACTACAAAATCACAATTTGTGACAAAATTTCGAATTTGAAACTTAAATAAGTGATTTTATAAATCACTTATTTCAGTAATTCTTCTGACTGTTCAAAGAATATTGAAGCTGTATTTATGTGTGTTTCCACAACTGCTCCATTTCTAGCTGATATTACATTTGTCATGTCTGTCGTAAAAACACTATCTTGTGTTATCTTTTGTTGTAACAATAGGGATATGTGTGACCTTTTTAATCAAGGTTTTACTGTAGTTGTAATTTAAACTGATTAACTAGTTCTTACCCAATCTGTATTTTGATGTCCAGTTTCTTCCCTTATGGGGTATAGAATGGATCCACTGATTATTGTAGTTATATTTGGATTTATTTCTGCCTTTGCCATGGTAACTACTCATGCATGGAAGTATCTTTCTCCTGTGTGATCTGGATCCATAAAACTGGTTCTTTGGTTGATGCCATGAATTTCCTGAAGATTTATGATACCAACCAGAATATCCCTGACCACTTTCAACTCCAGCAGTATATGTGCCAGTGGGCATGTCATTAAATATAAATTTAGACTTAAATACTGGTTTCTTGTTATTTGCTGTTGATTTCAGTGTTGAACTGTTACTATGACCAATCTTTCTTAATTTGTACTTGGACTTGATAATGTTAGAAGCAACTTGTGTGTTGCTATTTGTTGATGTACAATGATTTATCATTTCTGTTGATAAATTTTGTTTTCTTATTTTGAATTTTGATTTAAAAACTACAGGTCTTTGATTTCCTCCCATTGACCTTTGACTGCAGTGAGATAATGATAAATTATTGCTAGCTGAATTTGGAGAACAAACTTTTTGAAGTTTGTATTTGGATTTTATCATGTTTGTAGTTTGAATCCTGGAAGACTTTGGTAAAACGTTCCCCGAGCTGGAAGACACAGGTAAATCATTCCCTGAGCTATTAGACATATGACCTGGTAATACATTTTTTTGTATTTTGTATTTTGAATTAATGGATACCTGATGTGCATGATGATGTTTTGGCATAATGGAAGATGACGGTCCAGACATATTTTGCCTCAGTTTATATTTTGATTTAAATGGCATTTTTGGGGTCTTAAAATTTTTCACTAAAGACTCTCTGATACCAGTTTCAGACAGCAAAGGGTTACTAGTTACCATAGTTTCCTTTGGCAAACTTTTCTGCAATGAAAACCTAGACTTGAAAGTAAAATCATCAGCCGTTTCTGAATCACTTTTCCTATAAGCACACTCTGGATTTAAACCTGACATATCATGTACTTTATCTGTAGAAATAGTTTCAACTGAATTTTTCTGCTGACTTTGAATAGCACTGGATGTTTCTTTTGTGAAATCCTTTATTACTTCAGTTTTTACAGCATTTCTGACAACATCTTCATGCTTTTTGGTATTTGTAGCTTTCTGAGGATTGCTAATGTGTGATTTGAATGACAGCTGTCTTTTCAAGGCTGATATTGTATTTGACGTTTCTGACAACTTCCTATTTAATTCTTCCATTACCTCTTTCTTTGAAGGTGAAATTTCAGAACTACTTGATTTTGTCCTAGTTTGTTTTCTGTCAGTTATTTGAATTACTGCTGCTAACATCTTTGATTTGCTTATTACTTCTGATCCTTCTATACTTTTCACTGTAACAACACTACTTTGACAAGAATTAGAATCTTTAAGATTGGGTTTCACAAAATGACTTCCAGTGTTATCACTAAATTTTGTTTCTGAAGATTTCAAATCACTTACATGTATACTATCATTGCACAATCTTGTTGAACTTGATGCTATTTCTAGCTTTTCATTTGGTGGGTGTGTCTGAACTAAAGCTTGATTTTTAGACCTATTCATAAAGGGATGTTTCCTTAGTCTCTGTAAAATACATCCATTTTGAGGTAAACTGCTTGTATCTGGATTATCTGCCACCAAGTTTTCAGCCATCTTCATGTTTTCATTACCTTTTTTACTTGGTGAATTTGTATCTAATGGTACAGAGTAAGACCTTTTTAACATTTCATTTTTCAATCTGGTATTTTCTTCCATATAATTTTTGACTTGAGCAGGCTTTGAAATTTTATTAGATAAGTGTATGGCTGATTTGTGAGATCTTAAAGACAATTTTGGTGAGGACTGAATAATGGAATCATTTGCTGCTTTTTGAGAAGTTGATGGAAAGCTCAGGGTTGACTGTATTTCTTTCAGAGATCCCTTTATTTCCTTGTAATCTTGTGTACCAGTTGCTGATGAACTATGAACCATTGTTTGATGCTGACATGGTTGAGATATAGTTTTCTTTTGAGCTACATTGTAATCAATGTTTGTTTTCTTCCACGAAAATTTAGAGGAATCTTTAACAAATTCTTTTCCTGTACTGCTGACATGTCTTCTTTGCTTTCCATCTTTACATAACAGTTTACTGGATGTGTTTGGTCCAATTTCACCTCGATTTGATGATCCTGCAGTGGTATTTATCAAATCTAAGAAAAAAGAAAAGATATATAACTTGGTCATGATGGTATGTAATAAATGTAATTATCAAAATAATTGTCAAAGAATTGCATTGGATTTCACAAATACATGTCTCAATCTGATTATTTAAAATTTAAAATAAGACCTTTCACTTTGTTCTGTTAAATTTTTTGTTGATTTCAATCAGATTGAAACATGTTTTCTTCTTAAATTTATAACATAATACAACCTTGCATTGTGATACATGTAATACCATTTTTTGGCAAACAAATTTGTCTACAAACAGGAGCTACAATCCACTCTTCACATTTATTGAGCTACCTACAGCCATGACAGTATAAATTTGCATTTTTAGTTAAAAATGTTATACATGTACATTGTACATGTTATCTTAGTCATAAATGTGTAAAGTAAAATTTGTGTTTGTATTTTAAGCAATTAAATTAAAGCTTGTTGGTCAGTGTTTTAGAAGAATTACAATTTACATGTACCAACATGTAAACAGAAAATCCACTTTTCCAAGTTTTTCAAAGATTTCTGAGATATCCAGATATTAGAAAATACATGTACATGATGTAGGGCCATAATTAAAAAAAAATATTGTTTCTCCTCCCCCTGCCCTTAGTATTGGAGCTGACCAGGCAGGCAGGGTATAAATTTGTTTTTACAATTTCACTTCAAATCGTTCTAGAATTGAAACATATTCATGTGATATTGGAACGGCTATCTAAATATCATGAATATCATCAATTCATTCTAAAATCTATAAACTGGAGGAATACAATTGTTGTACTCAAATTTCTTTCACAGTTCTGACAATCACAATAAAAATCTATTTTTGGGTGTGTCATTAACGACCTTTCCTAATATTTAATACTGATATCATTTTAGTTATATGTATTGTCAGACACTTTGAAAGCTTACAACATATTTTTATGGTCACAGAACACTGAATTTATAAGGTCTTTGATTGCTCTTTACCTCAGTGTCAGATATACAATATACCAGGTCACAGAATTAAAAAAAGAATTGATATATGAAACAGAATATTTATTTAACATGTTTAACAAATGACTAGAATCAAACAACTATGATCATGATCAGAATATTGTAAAACTGTTGCAGATTTTTTTTTTTTATTTCGTTTGGGAATTTCCCTTTTAGCAGCAATGCACAGTTGACAAACTGGCAGCAATTTTAAATTTGACCATCAATGCAGGATCTTCTGGACAGTCAACTGATGCACAATGTGCACAAATATCTTTCCTGTCAACATCAGAGCCATATTCGGCAAATTATATATGTATCAAACAGTTCATTTGTTATAATACGATATTCAGACACTGGTAAAATAAAAAATAAACTGCTTTGCTGAGCACAGCTGGATACGCCCACAGAGGTCCAACCCTAAACAGTTGGGGCAAAAATGGACACAATATTCAAGCTTGATACAGGTCTGAATTTGGATTGTAATTAAATATTTGACATATTATAGGTTTCTGAATAAATGTAGTCAAAGAACTTGAAATTGGTTATATGAATTGAATTTATATTCAATTAAAGATTTCTTGCTGTTGTGCAATACACTGTGCTGTTGCGCAATACTTAAGTAAATCTGTTGTCAGACTATTTACAAATAAAGTTCAATTTCTTCTCAATGTCATATTTGAAATTTATGAAAATCAATAGGGAGATTACATCAATAGCTATAAATAATTCACCAAAGTTTCATGAGAACTGCTGAAAGCATTTTTGAGTTATTGTCCAAAAACTGGAAAATCCCCCCTTTTTTAATGAATAAAACCCCATAACTCAGAAATGTAAAATCTAAAATTTATAAAATTCTAAAGAAAGCTTACATCAACAGATATAAACAATTCACCAAAGTTTCATGAGAACTGCTGAAAGCATTTTTTAGTAATTGTCTGAAAACTGGAAAATCACCCTTTTTTTATGAATAAAACCCTGTAACTCGGAAAAGTAAAATCTAAAATTTATAAAAATCCAAAGGGAGCTCATGTCAATATAGATAAACAATTCACCAAAATTTCTTGCAAGTTGGTGAAAGCATTCTTTAGTTATTGTCGGAAAAAAGGAAAATCCCCCCTTTTTTAATGAATAAAACCGCAAAATTCGAAAACGGTAAATCTGAAATTTATAAAAAAATGAAAGGGAGCTCACGTCAATAGATATAAACAATTCACCAAAGTTTCATGCATATTGGTTAAAGCTTTTTTGAGTTAATGTCCGACATGTTGACGAGGGACGGACGGACAGACTGAAGGACAGACGGTCAATGGTATACCATAATACGTCCCGTAAACGGGCGTATAAAAAGTGAACAACAAATTATTTTCTTTTCTCAAAGTGTTTACGGAATCTTTTCTATCACAAATGGTGACTCAAAAGAACTTTGCCTGTTGATGTCAGTCTGAAATCTCCGCTGGTTATGTCCTCAAGCACGTCCTTTCAAGTATCCCTTTTGGGAAAAGAATATAATTTGTTGTTCACTATTTTTGTTATTTTACCGGTGTCTTTATATAGTATTATAACAGACGATGACAAGGTTATCTTGCCATCCATCTTAAAACGGACTTAAGGAACACAACCAAGGACTTCCGAGAAATACTTTTCATAAGGACTGATATCGGAACAATCTCCATTTTTTTTCAGGAAATAAAAAAAACACTGATAAATTTTTTTGACTGCAGCTTTTTTTAGACACGGCAGGGGCAAGGGGAAACAAACTAAATTCTAATTTTGGCCTAGTAATGAAAAAAATGTTTGAAAATGGAGTCTATTCTGCTGAGTACAGACAAACAAATGGGGTGCTTAATAATAACACTACTGTAAGATATTTTGGGGACTAAAGCAAAATAGTTTTCGTTAATTACATCAGAAATAAACACTAACATTACATAAATTAAGGTAGATAGGGTGTCTTCCTCTATCTTGGATTTTGAAATACCTGAAAACAATCGGTCTAGATCTATAATAAAAGGTGCAAATTTTGAGAGTAGTAGGTAATTCATGTGTAAGAATTTTCATTTCAATATAGAAAATGACATATTTTATCATATTTATGGTTGTATTTTACAAAAAAACAGAATACTTTTGTTTGATTCTATATTTTCCAACTTTGCCACATAAGGGGAGGCAACTCAAATGTAAGGGCAGATAATTCACATAAAGTTACTTTTACAATAGAATGTGTTAGGAATTTACCTATTTTATTATGTAGCAGGAAAACGGGTCCGGTGACCCCATTTTTTCTTTTTCTTATCTGAAAGCATACTATTAGAGCTATCTTCTCATATTTTATCTCAAAATTCTATGGTGTAGTTTTCATTTTATGGCAGAAAATTGGATTTTCCATGCATAATCTATACAAAATCTGTCAATTTTGCACAACCTGTAGCGTGAAAATAAGGCCCGTGACCCATTCTTTTTATTATTTTTTTTAAAAAAGCATGATATAAACTACACAAAATTTAACTAACATTACTAAAATGGATCGAGTATAATTATGGCTACTTCAGGCGGAGGAGACCTCTATAGTCTATACACGTATTATTTACTATTTTAACAGGTCCTGTGTTCAAACCACAGGGGCACCTTTAGTAGAATTAGATGAGGTTTTACTGTAAATGGTGGTCAGGATTTTTTCAAAAATACCATTTGTATTTCTATCAGACTGTCATGACTGTAGGATTGCAACTGTCATTGACAGTAAAACCTCATCCGAATCTACTAAGTGAGCCCCTGTAGATTATATTTCTCTACTCAATAAGTTGCAGACCAAAATTTTATTCCTTTTAGTAACGTGATCTCATTCTCTTCAAACGTTTGCTCAACATGTCAACACATTTTATGGACATTTTAATGAAGTGATTGAAAAGGAAAATCTAGTTCGTCTAAAAGCAACCAAAATTTACTGCTTAACGAATCAATGCATTTGAAATCTTCATTAATGTACAGTACCAGTCAAATATCTTATTTGACGTTTTAAAATCTCTTGCTCAGTTTTTGAGGTGTTGACTGTCGACATTTTTTTAAAGAACGTAAGCGATTTCAATTGAAATATGTCTTATTACCAATACAATAACAGTTGAATCAGAGGAACTAGGAAATAAAGACAATTCGGACCATAACAACTCGGACCAAAACAACTCACCAGTTTGAAATTTTTTATTTTAATATATCTAAAGCTATCTTTTGTGGTATCTATAAATGTATCCCAATATAATTAATATATACCTATCGTAACTTGCGTCGAAGTGATCGAGTCATGTGAGTATAACGAAACCGGAGATCTATATTTTAATTAGATTGAAATGTATCTGTTTTTGCTAGTTTTATAAAAGACATAAATGTAAAAGCACCATAATATATATATTTTTAGTTGACCCTAAACAACGTTTAACTACTACTTTAATAAAACACATGGTACTATACTTAAGATTGTATGGGAGTATATATTGAAAATGATAGAATTTGTTCATACTCGCCAAAACCAGGAACATATATATTGTTAGATATACTGTTCCCAGCCAAAACGTAGTATATATTGTGATATGTTCAAAAATATAATAAAAATGATAGGTCACCACGCATTTTCTCAAGGTACAGGTTGTGAAAAAATGACACATTTTGTATGGATTATACAGAAAAAAACATCATTATGTGCATAGAAGCTAAACTAAATGATAGAATTGAAAAATAAAATACGAGCAGATAGCTTTAAGAAAATGCTTTCAGAATACCAAAAGAAAAGATAGGGTCACCGTACTTTTTTCCCTGCTAAAACATAAAATAGCAAAATTTCAATGTAGATTCCTTTAGAAGATGTACTATTCCAGAGTTACCTTCCCTTAAAACGCAAATTTAAAAACATTGAAAATCAAGCAAAAATAATGTACGTTTGTAAAAATATAAGTAATTGTAAGTTAAAATCTTATAAATATGTTCATTTAATAGAAAATTCACATTAGTTAAATGCATTCCTGCATCAAATTTTGCTTACTTGATTGAAAATTTGGACCTACTTTGCTCTGCAATTCTAGCTACAATCCAAGATGACGAAAGACAGCCATACTACCTTAATCGACAAGCAACAAAATCAATCAACCAATCAATCAATGGTCATTTTTAATACTATTTAAAGTGCATAGTTCATTTTTATATCAAACACTGAAATCATTGTAGTAATATTGAAAAGGTTAAAATGTGTGCGGTATCTTTATATTTTTTAAGAGATTTTTCATACAGTTTACAAAATATCCAGAACTTTACGTTTTGTCATCGCTCAGATTTCGTAGTATATTTTAATGATAAGGATGAAAACAACTATATGTCACCATACAACATTTAAAAACAAGCAAAACTCATATCATATATAGTAAGCTCTAAAAGAGTCCGGATGAATATATGTCAACGAAAAACAAAATTGCCCCCTTCTTACTGCGCAAACTTCCCGAAGTTCCAACTCCGATCCGCATGCCTCTAGAGCTACACCAATCTAGTCTTTTTTACTAGCAAAACAAACATGAGGGGGGTGGGAGGGGGACTTCTGAAATATGACAGGCGAAAAAAAATTCTATAGCCTTCGTATAGTGTATGAGTTAGTCAGTGTTCCCTTTTATTTTCATTTTTAGTTTCAACATTTTTTGGGGGCCAAAAAATGGGATGGTGGCAAAAACAAATCCGGGTCCGTTCGCCCAAAATCACGTTCGCTCCCATTCACGTTCGCCCCCTTTCACGTTCGCACCCCACAATTTCGCACCTTGGGTCCGTTCGCGCCCTTTTTATTGGTTTTGTGTTGAATAATTGTTTAATCATCCGATGTTAAATTATGTATTATACAATTATGAATAAGTTTTTTTTAATTTTTCAAAATAAAGTGACATTTTAAAAACGTAATCAGGTTTCCTACTGCATGCACTTTAACCGTACACAATCATTCAAATCATGAAATATTTCATTTAAAAAAAAACAGCACTAAAATGTTTATAGTAACTACTTTATAAAATTTAAGAGAGCACTAAAATATTTTAAAAAAAATCTGAAACATTACATCAAATTGTACACCATTCACGCACCAGTATTTTCTAATATGCACTAATATAAATAGTTTATTTAAGAATTAATGTATTTAATTCAAATAACAGTCACAATTGTAATCTAAGTTCAAAGTCTACAGTGGCGGAAAATCGTCAATTGGTTTGTCTGATGGTCCATACAGTCTTCATCAACCCCCCCCCCCCCCCAAAAAAAAAAATATTTCATTTTGAAATTCCCAAATTTTATTAATGAAAATATAAATATTTTGATTTATTAATCTAAAAACATCTAATAATTCAATCGGTATTTGAATAATTTTTAAAATAGGGAGCGAACGCTCCCCACATGTTCGCCCCACTGTAGTGGCCGGGAGCGAACGTGTCCGATACCGGCAAAAACATAGTTCCCCTCCCCGGACTACTACGCCAGTGTAAAATAAAAAATATACAATAAAGACGAATTCAACATATAAATAATTCAATTTCAGCCTCAATTTTATTTTTAGTTTAAAGTTTGCGAAATGAATTAATAAAGGTTTATTAGAAATATATAATTCAAGTGCCGGCAAAGTAGAAAATTCATACTAACCATGCAGTAATCAATCAATAAATAAATAAATCAATCAATTATATTATTTAAGGCGCATAATTTGCAAATGCAGATCATATACGAAGAATTATAACATTAAATCAATTTAAAAATTAGTCCAAATTTCGCTTATTAGCGTATATTAAGTGTAAGTGCGAGATGTGTCTAGGCCGACTTGACCAATATTGAAAGCAGGGGCGTGTTTTTTTTGTTCTTCAGTAGTGAGCCAGAAGAGGTTCCTTTCTGTTTTTTTTTGCATTGGGAAGATCTTCTGGCTCTCTTCTATCTCTTCTGTTTAAATATGTAGTTTAGACGACAGAGGCATATAACAAACATGGCGTCGCTTAGTTTAAATGACATTAATAAATTTATAAATGCAGATATAATAGAATGTGAGACAGAGTTGTGTGATAAACGTTTTTATGGTATGGCAACCTTAGTAGGACATTCCTATAGGGACAATAAGCTGGATAAATATAAAAACTACACGGACAGTAGGGGACGACCCTTTAATATTCTGGGAAGGGGAATGGGGCAGAAGGATTTTTTGCGGATTTTTTTATTCATTTTAAATTTTTAATCTGTCGCTAAGCATGCCTATTTTTTCCAGCTCTTACCAGGCCACCATATTCATATTTAAAATCCTCCTGTCCCCCTCCCCAAAAAATCAAATGGCTTTCCCCTGATTTAACACGAGTTTAAATTGATTGCCTGATTTTGTTGGTTCCTTATTTTTAACATCCAGTGACTAATATTTCATACATGTTCAGAAAAAAACACGAATTTAAAAGTCAGGTAAAGAACATCAAAACTAGTAATGAGATGTGGCATGATTGCCAATTAGGCAAATATCAACCGGAGTTCAAATGAAGTAGTGTCAGCAATTATAACCAACCGTACCGCCTTCAACAATGACAAAAACCCATACCGTATAGTCAGCTATAAAGGGCCCGACATTAAAAATATGAAACAATTAAAACGAAAAAAAAAAACGGCCTAACTATATATATCAAAACCATTTAAAAAAAACAAATATGAGTTGACAGATATGAACCAACAACAACCACTGAACTATAGGCTCCTGACTTTGGAGAATGTGGCAGGGTTAAACATATATGTGACCGCTCAACACTCCCCTAAACTGGGATAGTGATGTAACAGTACAACATAAGAACAAACTGTAAAAATCAGTCGCAATTGGAATTACTAAAAAAATCGGTACGAGACACAAAAACAACTAACATTAAGAGGATAAACGTAAAGCACCGAAATAAGAGTTTTTGCAGTAACTGAACGGCTGGAAGTGTAATCATGCTCTCCCAGACTAAAGTATCAATCAGTACACAACCAACGGATTTATTCATCCTTGTATACTAGTACCTTTAAAACATATACAATTAAGGATCTCAAAAAGTGATGGTCCGAAGGTTTTAACCATCGAAATATTGAAAGGACCGGCACAATTTTGGTATTTTGAAATAGTCTAAGAAGTAATAGTTAGAACCAGTATATTTTTCTTCAAGGACCAACAGGGAATAAAGATTTTGAGAACTCTGCTATATCTTTTATATTACAATGCTTATAGACAAGATGTCCTTTTCGATCATATACTAGACAAACATTGACAAATTCTTGTATAGTTTAAGATTATTCCAAAAAAATTAATGGTCTGAGCTTTAAGCCGGATTTGTTTGTTAAAATTAAGTTAGAAAAGCGTAAAGATAAAATTTCACATACACAGCGATTTTTTCAACAATTTTCTTTGTCTTTTCACTTATCATATAATTACATCAATGTCAAAACGGAGAATAATAATTAAGTCATGTCTACCGAATGAACTGACAAAAACAATGTGACGTAACTAAATTTTCTAATAAATCATCGTAAACTTCGTTTATGTTATCCAACATAAAAAAAAATCTACTATATATTCGACGGCAAATTGAATTTTTGTTTTATTGCTTCTTCTACAGAATATCTCCAGAAGAGGTCCAGATTAATTTTTTTGGTTGGTGTAAAGTGATGAAGTGGAGTATTAAAAATGGTCACAGTTTCATCATTCTGTAGTGATAGGCTCCAACATCGTCAGACTAAAAACAATTAAAGAAACAACTTATGATAGAAAAAAAGAAGATTTATAAAGAACTTAGCAACATAAAGATGAGTGGTGTCAAGTATTGAAGACATCAATGCACGTGGCAGAAGACTAAATACTTTGATAAAGACGGGGTACATCTAAATAATGATGGACAATTTAAATTCTTCTGTTCTATTCGTATGTGTGCAAAACTGTACTTCAAGTGTAAAGTGTAAAATTATTTAATAAATACATATAGATATATATACATCAATATGTCTTTTTATTATTTTTAATCGAAACATTTTTTCCGTGACCTACAACTCATATAATTATATATTTTTATAAGATTACGAAACGTCTCAGTTACGAAACGACCTAGTTAGTTACGAATCGACTAGGTACGAAACGACCAGGTTACGAAACGACCTGCACCCCTGGAGATGTACAGAAGAGACCAATAAAACACGCCCCAGGATAGCAGAAAGATTTTTTTTCTGTGGTGTAAGCGATATGTTATTTTTTATTGTGAAATAGAAAGTACACTGTCTCGTTAAAAATAAGCGAAATTGATTAAAGAGAAAATGAATTTTAAAGAATGTACAGGAGCTTCACAGGCATGGTGCTTGGAAAGTGGAACATCTTTCAAAGTAGACTTTATTGACGAGGAAGAGAGAAAAATTCATTTCAAATGGCAAGGAGAGGATGAGGAAGAAAGTTCTGATATAAAATTTAGCATAACAGTCCCAATTAAAGACGACTCAAGCAGTAAATGGGTAATATTTTTGTTAAATTGTCTGTTTTGTATGGATATGTGTACCCATCATCATACTGATCGTCTTTGAATACCTGAAATTTATACATGTAATTCACATCAAAAGATGCATAAAGCTACAAAGGAACCGGTATCGGATCCGTTCGCCCTTATTACATGTTCGCCCTGGGTCCGTTTGCCCTGAGTCCGTTCACCCATAGAGTCCGTTCGCCCTAATTTTTATAAAAAAAATAATATTAATGGCAGCAGTATATATACTAATAGGAGCTGAGCCCATTGAGTCGAATTTAGACAAAAACATGCTAGCACTATTTCTCTCAATCTCTCGCCTGGATAGCTCGATAGAACGTAAAATATTAGAATGGGAATTGGAAATTAGTTCAAATTTTGACAACTCTTTTATTTGTCGTATAAATAAAATTTTGCAAAAATATCAATTGCCAAAAGCAGAAGAAATTATGGAACATCCTCCATCAAAATCTATGTGGAAAAAACAATTGAAAACATCAATAAATGAATACTGGTCTTCAATTTGGACAATAGAATGTAACACAAAATCAACACTTAAACTGGCATTTATCTCTTCAAAAAAATCCAGTCAATAATCCACATAACATTTGGTAATGTGTTAGAAATAACCAATATGACATAAAAAAGGCAGAATTCAAATGTAAGGTAGTAACTGGTACCTACATGCTCCAAAGTACTAGGGCAAAATTTAGTAAAAATGCTATTCAACCAAATTGCAAGCTATGCAATGAATCAGAAGAAACCTTGGAACATTTCCTACTACATTGCTTAAGTCTATCTGATGTTAGGCAGCGATATATGGATAAATTATTCAAAATGCTACGAGAAATAGAAAGGGGTGGTACAACAAATGTTATTAATAATGAACTATTACTCAAAATTATATTAGACTGCTCAGCACTAGACATAATGAGTAATCAACCAATAGACAAGTTGCTAGATATAGAAAGGAAGACACAAGATTTATGCTACCTTTTACACATGAAGCGTACACAACTTTTATGTGATATCAAGTGACATGAAAATAAAACAGTAATATTAAATATAGTCTGAACAGTCTACATGGGATGCCAAGCTAACTAGTTCAGTCTATAAATATCAGCATAAAAGATAATGCTATATAATTTTAACATTTGCCTTGGCAGGGCACCTATTGACTAGAAATCATTAGGTTGTAAAAATTTTTATTTATTCATATTGGTGAATCTAAGTGCCGTAATTTGTGATGTGTGAATAATATTTTATTTTTTTATTTTTTATTAATATCTTTTAATATATCATCAAAGACATTATAAACTTTTATTATATTCACTTTAACTTTAGAACTAATTTTATTTTAAAATTATATTTTTCATATCGTAAATATAAAAATATCCGCTTTTTCGGTTAAGTATTTAAAATTATAATACTCATTCGATAAGTGGAGTGCTCCGATAAAACGGAGGAATATACCAGAACAGAACAGAATGGTTTAATTTAAAGTTTTGTAATCTTATTCGGATATTTAAATGGTAAATATTAAAAATGTATATCTGCAAATTCATGAATAAACATTGAAATTAAAAAAAAGAAGGGTTGTTTCAGGCTAATTGGCTTCATTGTTACATTTGTTTTTATTCAGAATTACTTTTAATGACTGTTGATTGTAAATAAACTCATCATAGATACCAAGAGTGAAATTTTGTTCGCCAGACACACGTTTCGTCTATAAAAGACTCATCAGTGACACTCGAATCAAAAAAAGTTACAGGCCAAATAAAGTACAAATTTAAGTTGAAGAGCATTGAGGACCCAAAATTCCTAAAAGTTTTGCCAAATACAGCTAAGGTAATATATTTCTGAGGTGGAAAAGCCCTTGTATTCCGAAAATTCAAAGTTTTGTAATTTAGAAAGCTGATTAGATATGATTACGATGTCTTTGATCTCACTGATTGTTGTAGTTATTGTTTGTGTCTCAAGGTGTTGAGTGAGTTGGATCTTGCTATACCTGTTTGGATTGTTTTGAAATTGTTACAAGGTTTCAAAAAAGATAAATCCATACAGATAACTTGGTCTCCAGTTCCTGAACACTTCTTCTTCTTCTTCTTCTTTTTCTTCAAAATACTGTCCACATTCAACATAATGAATATTCTGGCAAGAATATTCAATGCAAATCAAAAGAAAAATAATTATCTGGTAGCAGCAATACAAAATAAATATTTCGGCGGAAATTTCAACAAAATTTAACATAATTAATTTAAATAATTTATATTATACAAGACAACAAAATAAAATAGAAATTCCGGGCGAACGGACTCAGTGCGAACAGAAATTAGGGCAAACGGACCCAGGGCGAACAGGTACTAGGGCGAACGGACCCGGATTCAAAGGAACCTACATGACCTATGCATGAGTGTACACAGATAACCTGAAAACTCAACAAAACTGATTAAAAACCTGAGAATTGATAGATATTACCCGTAAATTCTATTTTGTATGGTGTAATACTGCTTATATTGATAATAAACATGATAAAGACTTATTTTGAGGTATTTATATTTCACTTTTACTCAATAAAAGTACAATTCCATTTCAAGAGTATGATTTTTTGTGTCTTGTATGCAAGTTCCTTTTATTGCATTATGGCAGATGTAATTATCCAAAAGTTAGAAAATTCTAACACCACTGTCCCAGGTTAGGGGAGGGTTGGGATCCCGCTAACATGTTTAACCCGCCACATTCTGTATGTATGTGCCTGTCCCAAGTCAGGAGCCTGTAATTCAGTGGTTGTCGTTTGTTTATGTGTTACATATTTGTTTTTCGTTCTTTTTTTATACGACCGCAAAAAAATTTTGCGCTCGTATATTGGTATGATGTTGGCGTCGTCGTCGATGTCGTCATTGTCCGAAGACACATTGGTTTTCGCACTCTAACTTTAGTTTAAGTGAATGGATCTCTATGAAATTTTACCATAAGGTTCAACACCACTAAAGGAAGGTTGGGATTGATTTTAGGGGTTATGGTACCAACAGTTAAGGAATTAGGGGCCAAAAATAAGCATTTTTGTAACTTCCAGACATAACTTGTGTGTTAGTGTATGGATCTCTCTGACATTGTACCACAAGGTTCCATATCACAAAGGGAATGCTGGGATTGATTTTGGGGGTAATTGCCTCCAAATTTTAGGAATTAGGGGCATAAAAAGTGGCAAAAAACAAGCATTTTTCTAGTTTCATGACAATAACTTGTGTTCAAGTGTATGGATCTTTATGAAATTGTACTACAAGGTTCCATATCACAAAGGGAAAGCTGGGTTTGAGTTTGGGGGTAATTGCCCAAAACGTTTAGAAATACATTTTGTAAGGGGCCAAAAATAAGCATTTTTCTAGTTTCCAGACAATAAGTTGTGTTCAAGTGTATGGATCTCTCTGAAATCGTACTGCAAGGTACCATACCACAAAGGGAAAGCTGGGTTTGAGTTTGGGGGTAATTGCCCTAAATGTTTAGGAATAAGGGGCCAAAAAACAAGCATTTTTCTAGTTTCCAGACAATAACTTGTGTTAAAGTGTATGGATCTCTCTGAAATTGTACTGCAAGGTACCATACCACAAAGGGAAGGCTGGGATTGAGTTTGGGGGTGATGGATCATAAGGGGGTTCAAAAAATTTGGGCGGGGGGTCCTTTTTTTTCTTTAAAATTTTCCATTTTAAATTGGTTATTTCTGATTTATATGTAAAAGCAAATAATAATGATGTGGTTTGAATAGATAAATTAAAAATTTTTTAAGGTTTTTAGACCACATTCATTCTGTGGCAGAAACCTATGCTGTGTCAAATATTTAATCACAATCCAAATTCAGTGCTGTATCAAGCTTGAATGTTGTGTCCATACTTGCCCCAACTGTTCAGGGTTCAACCTCTGCGGTCGTATCAAGCTGCGCCCAGCGGAGCATTTTATTGTACATAAATTAGGCTGTTCCTTTTCTCGTTTGAATTGTGTTACATTGTCAAAAAGGCACTAAAATCTAAATCTTTATTTGTCATGATCCATTTAAAAAGAATTCCTAAATCTATTTATCTTGGGTTTCTATAGATCTTTAAGTAACCATATTCAATGTTAACAACAAAGTCTCCCTATTTTCCCGTCTAAATGACAGGAAGTAGATTAGATATAAATAGATTTTTAACATGTGCTTATGGATAATGTTTGCAAGATTTTTAGGTACGGTGACCTAAAGTTGATTAATTCTGTGTCATTTGGTCTCTTGTGGAGAGTTGTCTCATTGGCAATCATACCACATCTTCTTTTTTATATCTATCTTAATAACATACATTTGCCATATTTTTATACATGTTATACAAGGAACTAAGCATATATCTGAAGTTAAATTGTACTTTTATCGAGTTTAAGTGACTTATCTTATATATCTCAAAATGATGGTCTTTATTATCAATATATGCATTACTACACCATATGTAATAGAATTTTCATATAATATTAGTTCTTGGGTTTTTATATGACCGCAAAAAATTTTTGGGATCGTATAATGGTATGATGTCGTCGTCGTCTGCATCGTCTGCGTCGTCGTCCAAAGACACATTGGTTTCCGGACAATAACTTTAGTTTTAGTGAATGGATCTCTATGAATTTTTTAACAAGGTTCAGTACCACAAAAGGAAGGTTGGGATTGATTTTGGGGATGATGGTCCCAACCGTTTAGGAATTAGGGGCCCAAAAGGGGCCCAAAACAAGCATTTTTCTAGTTTCAGGATATTAACTTGTGTATAAGTATTTCGATTGCTCTGAAATTGTACCACAATGTTTAATACCACAAGTAGAAGGTTGGGATTTATTTTAGGGGTTATGGGGCCAACAGTTTAGGAATTAAGGGCCTTAAAAGGGGCCAAAAACAAGCATTTTTCTAGTTTCCAGACAATAACTTGTGTGTAAGTGTATGGATCTCTCTGACATTGTACCACAAGGTTCCATATCACAAAGGGAAGGCTTGGATTGAGTTTGGGGTTAATTGCCCCAAACATGTAGGAATTAGGGGCCAAAAAAGGCCAAACAGAAGCATTTTCTAGTTTCCAGACAATAACTTGTGTGTAAGTGTTTGGATCTCTCTGAAATTGTACTACAAGGTTCCATACTACAAAGGAAAGGCTGGGATTGAGTTTTGGGGTTATTGCTCCAAGAGGGGGGTTTCAAAAAGTTGGGGGTGGGGGAATTTTTTTCCCAATTTTTTAAGGGATTCATATTTTTTTTTCAAAATTTTTAGAATTTCAAATTTTTGAAAAGTTTCAAGAAGAAATCTTTAATTGCACAGTATTGCGCAATGGATTTATAAGATCTTTGACCACATTTATTTTGTGTCAGAAACCTATATTATGTCAAAAATTTGATCACAATCCAAATTCAGACAGTATCAAGCGTGAATATTGTGTCCAAATTTGCCCCAACTGTTCAGGGTTCGACCTCTGCGGTCATATCAGGCTGCTCTCAGCGAAGCATTTTATTAATCTTTTTGAAAAGCAATACAGTCATGACAGTCTGCAGCCTATAAAGTATTTCATCAAAAACAGAAAAGTCTTACTGTGTGTACATGGTGTACAATGTCTAATTACCGGTATCTATATATATACATTGTATATATGTGTAGCACTGAGATGAACCCATGTACTAACAATAAAAATCAGTAAAAAAAGAAATAACAGGTCTGCAATATCAAAACTTTAACCAATAACTCCTTTCTCCAGAGATACATATATGTACAATGTATATGTATTAGTTAGTAAAAGTCAATGTCTCTTTAATTTTTATACTATGACATGGCTCATGAACTGAATTTCACATTTCTTTTCTAGATGTTTTGGTCAGAAAATGAAGATGTTTTAAACACAATAATGGAAATGCATGACTACACAGATGCATGTAAAGAAAAATCATTTTTACAGATTCTCTCAAAAGTAGACTCCTTGTTAAAACCAGTAAGTAAAGTCAATTGTTATACTAAGCAGTGTTCTCCCCAGGATTTGTGGATAGCACCAGGGCAACACATGTGGACAGCTTGGTGAAATGATTCGTTCAATCAGTCGTGTTGCGTTGCGTCACTTAGCTATATTTCTAGTTACCATAGTTTTTATACGACCGCAACAAAATTTTCAGTCGTATATTGGTATGACGTTGGCGTCGTCGTCGTTGTCCGAAGACACATTGGTTTTGCACTCTAACTTTAGTTTGAGTGAATGGATCTCTATGAAATTTAACCATAACATTCAATACCACAAGAAGAAGGTTGGGATTGATTTTGGGGGTTATGGTACCAACAGTTAAGGAAAAAGGGGCCAAAAATAAGCATTTTTCTAGTTTCCAGACAATAACTCATGTTCAAGTGTATGGATCTCTCTGAAATTGTACTGCAAGGTACCATACCACAAAGGGAAGGCTGGGATTGATTTTGGGGGTTATTGCCTCAAAATTTTAGGAATTAGGGGCCAAAAAGGGGCAAAAAACAAGCATTTTTCTAGTTTCAGGACAATAACTTGTGTGTAAGTGTATGGATCTTTATGAAATTGCACTACAAGGTTCCATATCACAAAGGGAAAGCTTGGTTTGAGTTTGGGGGTAATTGCCCTAAATGTTTAGGAATTTGGGGCCAAAAAGGGGCCAAAAAACAAGCATTTTTAGCTCACCTGGCCCAAAGGGCCAAGTGAGCTTTTCTCATCACTTGGCGTCCGTCGTCCTGCGTCCTGCATCCGTCGTCCGTAAACTTTTACAAAAATCTTCTCCTCTGAAACTACTGGGCCAAATTTGACCAAACTTGGTCACAATCATCATTGGGGTATCTAGTTTAAAAAATGTGTCCGTGGACCCGGCCAACCAACCAAGATGGCCGCCATGGCTAAAAATAGAACATAGGGGTAAAATGTAGATTCTGGCTTATATCTCTGAAACCAAAGCATTTAGAGCAAATCTGACGGGGTAAAAATTGTTTATCAGGTCAAGATCTTTCTGCCCAGAAATTTTCAGATGAATCTGACAACCCGTTGTTGGGTTGCTGCCCCTGAATTGGTAATTTTAAGGAAATTTTGCCATTTTTATACGACCGCAGAAATTAAAAATTTTTTGGTCGTATATTGGTATGACGTTGGCGTCGTCGTCGTCGACGTCCGGCATAGTCGTCGTCCGAAGACACATTGGTTATCGCACTCTAACTTTAGTTTAAGTGAATTGATCTCCGTGAAATTTTACCATAAGGTTCAATACCACAAAAGGAAGGTAGGGATTGATTTTGGGGGTTATGGTACCAACAGTTAAGGAGTTAGGGGCCAAAAAGGGGCCAAAAATAAGCATTTTTGTAACTTCCGGACATAACTTGTGTGTTAGTGTATATATCTCTCTGACATTGTACCACAAGGTTCCATATCACAAAGGGAATACTGGGATTGATTTTGGGGGTAATTGCCTCAAAATTTTAGGAATTAGGGGCCAAAAAAGGGGCAAAAAACAAGCATTTTTCTAGTTTCATGATAATAACTTGTGTGTAAGTGTATGGATCTTTCTGAAATTGAACTACAAGGTTCCATATCACAAAGGGAAAGCTGGAATTGAGTTTGGGGGTAATTGCCCAAAACGTTTAGGAATAAGGGGCCAAAAAGGGACCAAAAATAGCATTTTTCTAGTTTCCAGACAATAAGTTGTGTTCAAGTGTATTGATCTCTCTGAAATTGTACTGCAAGGTACCATACCACAAAGGGAAGGCTGGGATTGATTTTGGGGGTAATTGTCTCAAAATTTTAGGAATTAGGGGCCAAAAAGGGGAAAAGAACAAGCATTTTTCTAGTTTCAGGACAATCACTTGTGTTCAAGTGTATGGATCTCTCTGAAATTGTACTGCAAGGTACCATACCACAAAGGGAAGGCTGGGATTGAGTTTGGGGGTGATGAATCATAAGCATGATAAGGGGTTTCAAAAAAATTGGGGGGGGAGGGATTTTTTTTTTTTTCCTTTTTTTTCTTTTTTTCCTTTTTTTTTTTTCTTTTTAAATTTTCCATTTAAGTTGGTTATTTCTGATTTATATTTAAAAGCAAATAATAATGATATGGTAGGAGATACACACCAAACAGGATGTTTAAATTATTATATAATAAGTATTGTGCAATAGCAAGAAATTTTCAATTGCACAGTATTGCACAATAGCAAGAAATCTTCCATTGCACAGTATTGCGCAATAGCAAGAAATCTTCAATTGCACAGTATTGCGCAATAGCAAGAAATATCCAATAGCACAATATTGCGCAATAGCAAGAAATTGTCAATTGTACAGTATTGCGCAATAGCAAGAAATATTCAATTGCACAGTATTGTGCAAAAGAAGATACTTCGTATAAATTGCTTATTTCTTGACCAATTTCAATGGGGTTTTATTCTTGAATTCTTGGGGTTCTTTAATATGCTGAATCTAACCGTGTATTAAGTTTTTGGATTTTGGGCCCCGTTTTTAAATTGGTCCACATTGAGGTCCAAAGGGTCCAAAATTAAACTTTGTTTGATTTCATCAAAAATTGAATTATTGGGGTTCTTTGATATGCCGAATCTAACCGTGTATTTAGATTCTTAATTTTTGGTTCCTTTTTCAAATTGGTCTACATTAAGGTCCAAAGGGTCCAAAATTAAACTTAGTTTGATTTTAACAAAAATTGAATTCGTAGGGTTCTTTGATATGCTGAATCTAAACATGTATTTAGATTTTTGATTATGGGCCCAGTTTTCAAGTTGGTCCAAATCGGGGTCCAAAATTAAACTTTGTTTGATTTCAACAAAAATTGAATATATGGGGTTCTTTGATATGCTGAATCTAACCATGTATTTAGATTTTTGATTTTTGGGCCCCGCTACCAACTTTGTCCACATTGAGGTCAAAAGGGTCCTAAATTAAACTTTGTTTGATTTCATCAAAAATTGAATTCTTGGGGTTCTTTGATATGCTGAATCTAACCATGTATTTAGATTTTGGATATTGGACCATAATAGGTGAATGTCCAATTTGAAATTTTTAAGTTCTTAGACCACATTGATTCTGTATCAGTAACCTATGCTGTGTCAAATATTTAATCATAATCCAAATTCAGAGCTGTATCAAGCTTGAATGTTGTGTTCATACTTGCCCCAACTGTTCAGGGTTCGACCTCTGCAGTCGTATCAAGCTGCGCCCATATTATTATAGATAGAGATAAACTGTAAACAGCAATAATGTTCAGCAAAGTAAGATCTACAAATAAGTCAACTTGATCAAAATGGTCAGTTGACCCCTTAAGGAGTTATTGCCCTTTATAGTCAATTTTTCACCATTTTTTGTAAATTTTTGTAATCTTTTACAAAAATCTTATCCTCTGAAACTACTAAGACAAATTTAACCAAACTTGTCCACAATCATCATTAGGGTATTTAGTTTTAAAAAATGTGTCTGATAACCCCGTCCTCGAACCAAGATGGCCGATATGGCTAAAAAATAGTACATAGGGTAAAATGCAGTTTTTGGCTCATATCTCTGAAACCAAAGCACTTAGAGCAAATCTGACAAGAATTTTTTGTTCATTAGGTCAAGATCTATCTGCCCTGAAATTTTCAGACCAATCAGGCAACACGTTGGGTTGCTGCCCCTGAATTGGTAATTTTAAGAAAATTTTGCAGCTTTTGGTTATTATCTTGAATATTATTATAGATAGAGATAAACTGTAAACAGCAATAATGTACAGCAAAGTAAGATCTACAAATAAGTCAACATGACCAAAATTGTCAATTGACCCCTTAAGGAGTTATTGCCCTTTATAGTCAATTTTTTACAATTTTCATAAATTTTATAAATTTTTGTAAATTTTTACAAAATATTTTCCACTGTACTACTGGGCCAAGTTCATTATAGATAGAGATAATTGTAAGCAGCAAGAATGTTCAGTAAAGTAAGATCTACAAACACATCACCATCACCAAAACACAATTTTGTCATGAATCCATCTGTGTCCTTTGTTTAATATGCACATAGACCAAGGTGAGCGACACAGGCTCTTTAGAGCCTCTAGTTCTAGTTTCCAGACAATAACTTGTGTTCAAGTGTATGGATCTCTCTGAAATCGTACTGCAAGGTACCATACCACAAAGTGAAGGCTGGGATTGATTTTGGGGGTTATTGCCTCAAAATTTTAGGAATGAGGGGCCAAAAAGGGGCAAAAAACAAGCATTTTCCTAGTTTCAGGACAATAACTTGTGTGTGAGTGTATGGATCTTTATGAATTGTACTACAAGGTTCCATATCACAAAGGGAAAGCTGGGTTTGAGTTTGGGGGTAATTGCCCGAAATGTTTAGGAATTTGGGGCCAAAAAAGGGCCAAAAACAAGCATTTTTCTAGTTTCCAGACAATAACTTGTGTTCAAGTGTATGGATCTCTCTGAAATTATACTGCAAGGTACCATACCACAAAGAAAAGGCTGGGATTGATATTGGGGGTTATTGCCTTAAAATTTTAGGAATGAGGGGCCAAAAAGGGGCAAAAAACAAGCATTTTCCTAGTTTCAGGACAATAACTTGTGTGTGAGTGTATGGATCTTTATGAATTGTACTACAAGGTTCCATATCACAAAGGAAAAGCTGGGTTTGAGTTTGGGGATAATTGCCCAAAATGTTTAGGAATTTGGGGCCAAAAAGGGGCCAAAAACAAGCATTTTTATACGACCGCAAAAAAATTTTGTGGTCGTATATTGGTATGACGTCGGCGTCGTCGTCGTCGTCGTCGTCCGAATACATATTGGTTTTCGCACTCTAACTTCAGTTTAAGTGAATGGATCTTTTTGAAATTTGACCATAAGGTTAAATACCACAAAAGGAAGGTTGGGATTGATTTTGGGGGTTATGGTACCAACAGTTAAGGAATTAGGGGCCAAAAAGGGGCCAAAAATGAGCATTTTCTAGTTTCCAGACAATAACTG